TTTTGCATCTTTTTATTTCTTTTTACCTTGTTAGTGGTAATTATTTTCTTTGGCATGCTATACGTAGGCGTGATAATTTGATAATAATCAGTCAAAAGATATAACAACAATTAAAGAGCAGTTCAGTTACCGCTAACTATAGTACTGCACTCTCTGCACATGCACAGTGGTATAGTTTAGTTCAGTTCGACTTAAGTATTACTTCATTCTTCGCATTACATTTAATCCGAATGTCTGGTTTAGTTCAATTCTCGTTAATTAATACTTCATATTCTGCACATAGACGGGTTACATATAATCTGCGCATACAGTTGGATGATTGGTGCCTAAGCCGCAATCAAGGAGACAAAACTTATATCATTTTCAGAGAATTATTTATAGACTTTTGTACATCTGAAAAAAAAAGTGGAAAGGAATAGAAGCTTTTGTAGAGTGGGAGAGGACCAAAATTTTGTAACCAATGTAAACATGAATGAGTTTTCTTTTTTTTTTTTCATCAATTCTTCTATAAAGTCCTCAGGAGAACAAATCTCAGTTGAAAAAATAACCAATTTTTAAGGTAGCACGTAACTGTCACACAGGCCAATTCAGACAAAGAAACTATACATCTCTTTTTCAAATTATAAAAGGTACACTCCACCAGAAATGTTTGAAAACAACATTAATATGAATTAATGGCAGAAAACGGTATTACTATTTGAACTGATCACTAGAACTTGTGAGTGACAAGTTATTTGTTTGGCGAATCGACTTCTTATGAAAAATGCATATTTATTTTGTGAAATCTCTTATTTTTGTTTGTATTGCTTGTTAGAATGTGACATTTAAATTTTAAAATACACATTTGTATATATGAAGTGACTTATAATCTGTTTGAACTTATAAACTGACTTATGAAGTTCATAATTATATTTATAGGAAAATGAAATCACTTTCATCTTGTCTGCTTCGTATATGGTCGATCCAAACGACTTTTCGAAAGCTCAAACTGAAGCTAGAACTAACAATTTCTGCTGAATGATAGTAAGAAAATAAAATAAAATTAAGGCTTCAGATACTGGCGTAGGGGTGTTCACGGTCCGGATTGGTCCGGTTTTAGCCCAAACCATGACCAAACCGGACCTTAACGGTTAATTTTTTTTCTTGTCCATAACCGGACCGGTTTTATTTTTTTACCGACCACAATCCGGACCGATTGGACGGTCCGGTTTGGCGGTTAACTGGTTAAATTCAAAATCCTTGTTTTGAGCCTTCAATTTTTATTTTTTTCATTTTGGGCTTAATTTTGTTTTTCCAATTTTGGGCCCTAAAGAGATTATTTGGGCTTAAAAATTAAGAAAAACAACAATAATGAAATAAAAAGTACACAATTCGTCTCATAAGCATAAAAATGCACATTTTCTCCCATAAACATAAAATACAGAAATGATGAAGATTAATTATGCAAACTGAACTCAAGCAAACATTCATTTTTCAGTCAGTTTATACACTTGAAATAATAAGAACAAAGCATTCATAGTGAATGTATTGTATTTATCGGCCATAGTGAATGACTGAATGTATATATATATTTGTTATAGTTTTTTAATATTTACCGGTCCGGTCCGGTTAAACCGGCGGTTTGCCGCAGGTAATCCGTTAACCGGACCGGCTATTCCGGATTTTTAAAAAAATTAACCATCAGAGTTTTTAAGACTTTTGTAACTGACCAATTAACCGATCCGCGATCCGAATTGACGGTTTTTTCTGGTTAAAACCGGTCCGTGAACACCTCTATACTGGCGCTCTTGAGCAATACCAGGCTGGATTTTAGAACATAAAATTAAAGACCCACTGTGCCTATTGGACCAGATAAGATGGGCCACATCAAGCCCAACTAAATTAAATTCTAGAATCTTAGTTTGGGTTGGACATGGAACCCATACTAAGGTAGTTCAAAATGTGATTTAGTCCCTAATTTATTCCCATTGAACTTGTAAGTGTAATTTTTCTTGTTCAAGCAAAAATATAGCAGTGAATTTAATTTAATGAAACTCCTAAGAAAAGAAAATATTATGACACTTAATTTAACCTGACGTGAATTATTTGTATCACTTCAAGCATGATATCTGAATAAAATACATTAACGAATTGTTCTGAAATTTAAGGTAATTTCTCTCTTTAACTAGCCACAAATGTTTGTTTTTTTTTTAAGCCACAAATGTGTTAACCAACCCATAGTTTTTAAATCCAGTCCGATAATCGACCCGGGCAGGTCTCGTGGTACCGACTCACCGGGTCACCGGGTCAATTATATTGCTGAACCGGATAGTTAATTTTAATATTTTTAAAATTATATATAGAGTATTTTTGTCATATAAATATACATAAAAGTAACAAAATCAAATATTTTGTGTGTAAAATTTATATATTAAAGTGTTAATAATATGTATCTCATATAAATGTTTACCATATAAACATATATAGATAGTTTTATTTTTAAAAAACAAAAAAAATTAAAAAAAAATTAAAAAAAAGTACATATGGGGGGTTAATGCCCTGGGTTGGCCGGTTTTTGACCGAGTCCTTTGTTGCACGGTCCAAATATCCAACCCGGACCGGCTCTGTCTCCGGGTCGATCGGGTCCTGGGTCTACCCGCCGGGCCAGTCCAGGTCAAAAAACTATGAACCAACCTCTATCGGAGTCGATAAATAAACTCGAGTTTGAATCATTAACAAATAACAAATCTTAATAAATCGAGCTCACAAGCAACTCTTTTTTTTAATAACGTTCTATGATTCAAAATGAGATACAAGTTTTTTGATTGATTTTGGTAACTTTTCATTTCAAAATTACACCTTTCATCCAATTTCATCTGTTTTATTTCCCCAATCATTTACATTTTCTAACTTCTATGAATTATATTCAATCACTATTAGAATATTCATTATGAGTTGTCCCACATCGTTTGTATAGGGAAAATAGACCTAATTTATAAATTTATTGGGCTACTCCTCCTTCCACATTTTGGAATGGAATCCTACTTGAGTTTCATTTGGGATTTCTCTGTTTATGGTGCGCTTCACATGCGTGATACGCATCCCGTTCCTTACAATCACTAGGTCACTATTCCTGTCAAGTTTGTTAAAAAAATCTTAAAAAACTTTCCATATTTATCTTTCTCCTTCATATATATATTATGAAAAATCTTAAAACACAAAATATACGCTGCATTTCCAATATGCAAAACACTTCGTAACACATTCAATCTAATAAAAAAAAACATACATAATTTCAGAAAAACCAAAAATTAAATTTGAAAAATTCAAAGCACGATTCGACATTCACGATACATTATAAATCAAACACTCGCCCGACCAAATCACACACATGACTGACACGTATACATACGATCAACTACTGTTGACCATCCTGCAGTTGGTCCTGACCTTCCCTCCAGGCTGGCCCGACTTGATGTTCCCCATCTTCACCATCGACTCCTTAAACATCTCGAAAAAAGCTGCCTCGTTGGCACTGAACAGCTGTACAATCCCCTTGGACACCTGCGACTTATTGTCGGCCATATTAGAATACAACACCTGGTCCGACCCCAGCAAACCTTGCTGACTCATCAAGTTCGTGTAGTAGTTGTTGTCGAACTTGTCCGGTGTCGTCGGGTCCAAATTTCCCAACAATCCCGTTGTGTTTGTCCCATTTTGCGGGCACAACTTCTGGAGGCTCGTCAGGTACGTCGGGTTCAGAGACGGGTCGGGCTGACCCGTCCCATTGAAATTGTACAGCCTGGCCGAGAATGTCGCGCAGCGTGCACGCCCGAATGTGTGGGCCCCTATTGATTAAATTACATCATTCATCTATAAATTTTTATTTATATACTTAATTAATGCAAATTAAATATACCAATTTTTTACTTTGTTTTGTTTGAATAGGATATGTAATAGGGCCATAAATTAAATACATTTTATTTGTATAATTAATAGCAACAATAATAATTTTGTGGCATCAAGTAAGTATTTTCCGCGTATACACCAATTTATTTATTCAATATTTGTGACTATATACGTACCTGATAATACAATTACATCGGTAAGGTTTAGACCGACCGCCATAAATTTAGACGTGATGTTGGCTAAGGACTCAGTGGGCGCCGGGAGAGACGTGTTCGCCAGCGATTGGTTTGCTGTTAGGCTGTCGTTTCTTCCCAAAAGTACGGACCACGACGGGCCACCAGCCTGAAATTAATTGTAAATTAATTTAATTACTAACAAAAAAGAATTATTAATAAAAGAAAAAAGAAATTCCGGTAATTAATGAATATCCATTAATTAAATACCAGTGAGTACGTAGTCTAGTTTCGGCTGTTTTAGCTGCTTGAGTATTATTAATTATTGTCTAATTGTAATCATGTGTTTTCGATATTATAATATCTATTGTTTGGACAAAAAAATATATAAATAAAATATACCAGAACGACGGCAGACTCGGCGGCTAGGGCTAGGATGTCGGCACACGACACGATTCCCGGGCAGGTGGCCTCCACGGCAGTTTTTATGTCGTCGATCACATTGAATCCGCGGGCCGAGTTAGCGTTGGGGCCCGCATTTTTCTCGCTCACGATCGGCACGGTGGTGTTGTCGTCTAACAAAATTGATGCGTCGCATCCCTGAACAAAGCAATCGTGAAAATGGAGACGAATAAGGCTTGCGCCGATGCGCGAGTCATTGACTAAAGCTTCACTGATTTGATTAGCAACGATATTCGACACATTCGGGCAAGTAGTGTCGTAAAATGTGGCGCATAGTTGAGCTTCAGGTATCATCGGAAGTACGAGAAAAATGGTTGTGACGGTTATTATAGTTAAGAATGAAGAGAAACAAAACATTTTGTTTGATTTTATTTATGAGTTTCTTTTTTTTATAATGGTAAGAATTATTGTGAAGTAGTTGTATGGTTTGATGGGGACTAAAGTAGTGACATATTTATAGTGAAAAAGAATAGAAGAATGATATCCCGCGTTACTTGCAAACATTGCTTAATTAATTATACAAGCTAAAAGCTACATGCTAGCTGCAAGCATGTACGTAAAAACATTTTTTTTTTTTTTTTATTACTCTATTTTTGTCTAAAACCTAATCTATTCTTCATTGACATGCTGCATAGAAATGATTTGATTATCAGTGAAAACGCGCTCATCATTAGCTAAAATTGAGGAAGTCTAAACTGTTAGTTATAAGGTTGTTGTGTTATGTATTGTAGGATTAGATTAAGGTCCAATTTAAGGGAAACTCATCTTTTGTCTTTATATACATGTACATATCTTGTAATTAATACAATACATATTTTTCTGAAATTCTCACATGGTATTAGAGCATTGTCAGTACGCAATACCTTTATAGAACAGGAAAATTGTGTATGAATCATTCTAGCATATTGAATATATATGGTGGGCAACTCGAAACGATTTTTGAGAAAATAGATCCAGATGAAACGAGAAAAATCATCCATAAAAATAGCAAATTAAGTATCGAAAATCATTCATAGAGGAAATATGAGAAGGACCGCAAACAATTAGCCTTTTATAATAAAATATTATATTTAAAATACAATAAAATTATAGTAATTATAATATATAAATATATATTTTTGCTAAGAGTAAAATTTTGTAATTAACAAAAACATTATTTCCATATATATGCAAATGCTTGTGTGTGAGATATTACATTGTATTTATCGTGCATGAGCCAAATTGTGCTATATTATACGAGTTTATTACATGGTCATGGCGGAAATTTGAACCCCAATAGAACAGCATGCTTGAATTAATTATTTAATTACACATAGCTTGTGTAAATTAAATGTACAAGAGATAGCCATGCAGATCATTGTTTTGTATAATGAATCAATCCCCTCTATATATAATTTCAGAATGCGTTGAACTTACGTGGCAAACTCTCATGCTTCGGAATCTTACTTGACAAAAAATCATGTTTTAAAGTTAAACTTGATATAAATTAATATTGTATTAATTGTATTTTAATATCATTTACTATTTTTTTGCAGATAATATCATCGATATATATATATATATATATATATATATATATATTCTGAAGCATAAATTTTCGTCATGCCAACATCCGGAGCGTGTGAATCTGCCACTTAGCTCAACACGTTTTGAATTAATATATAGGGAGGGATGTGGAAATTTAATATATCAACAAAAGAAAAATATGTTTGTATATTAATATTTTATCAAATATTGATGAAATGGACCTAGAAATAACATTAATATATATATTAACAGATATATCAGTTGACTAATATATTTTAACAGATATATCATATATCATCTTGTTCAAAATAAGTTTTATGTATTATACAAATATTCATATATCATCTTGATTTGGAATAAAGATGGGGAAGTTGCATTTTGTGGGATTACTTAACCTAATTAACACAACTGCACGTCTTGCACAAAATCACTATAAAGTCTTCAATTTTAACACAAAAGACACCGCAATCAGGGGACAAAACTTAGATTTCAAGGGATCATTTGTAGAATTTCGTCTCTGGAGACAAAATGGACAGCCATAGAATTTTTTATTTTTTTTTAACGTGAAATAATGACATCAAAATTGTCGATACAACGTAAACTTGAATATAGGAATTTTGCTAATAATATATCAAATAATAATAATAAAAAATGTAACTCATATCAATTTATTTTGAGGTAATATGGAGCAATCAAAGCACGCGTTTGGACCAAGAAACATAAAAGGTGAAGAGAGAGCAGTTAAAACATGGCCAATCCAGAATCATTGATGAACCTATTATTGACTTATGAGGTCGTTACTTAAACTTCATCATTACTGTTTCTAAACTATGAGTACTTGTTAATATATCTTATATATTGATATTACAAACACTTTGTTCAGGTATTGATTTGTTTGCACTTCACGTTAATTGAATTCGCAGTTTTGGCTAGTTGAATAGTTTAGCTTATATAAAAATACTTAATAAATAATTAGTTATTTGATTTGTAAAAATAATTATGTTAGAATATCACTTGTTAGTTGTTCCACATCGTTCATACGTGGAAAATAGACCCACCTTATAAATCTAATGGGCTATTCCTCCTTCCACCAATTGGTTTTGGAATAGAACCTCATTTAGATTTCATCTATTCCTACTTTCACCAATTGATTTTGGGATAGAACCTCATTTAGGCTTCATCTAGGCTTTCCATATTTGTGCGCTTCATCTACATGGGACTGCACTAGATCCTCCCCTCCCCCTTTCTTACAAATTAAATGTGTTGAGCTCTTTCCAAATTAGACCCGTGGATATCTAAAAAACAATTTCAAACCACTAATTATTAAATAATGAAACTAAAGTATTGATTGATCAAATCTTTAACTTACCCTCAATTATTTAATTTAACTTCAAACCGTATAGGGATCTAAATATAAATTAAAAACAACTTGGATGTTATTAGTCGTAATATGAGATAGTTTCTTTTTCTTGTGTGTAATTGTGCTATGCTCTGATACTTGTTTTTCACTTTTTAAAATTATATTTGATTTATATTGACCTTTTCTTTACGTTAAGATTATATGACAAATTTCCATATACACGATGACAATTTATCACGCGTGCTGTATATGCATGGTCGAAGTCCAGTGACTTGTTCAAAAGCTCAAAGTACCTAAAAACTATTATTTTGTTTAACGACTTCGATATAAAGCTACATTTTTCTAAATAATCAATTGATACTCCCACATATTATTATAATTATCAAATCGAATAGTGTGTAATCTGATTGTTTGTATATTGATTCATGGTACATGTAATAAGTATGGTACTTAAATATTGACTTACAGTATCAAGTTATATGTAAAGACTCGTTTACTTTATCGAGCCGAGCTCATTACTAATAAATGAACTGGAACTTGAATCATTTGTTAATATTAACATATTGAGCTTGAGTTTGAACTTTAATAGGACTAATTTGAGTTATAAATTAACAAGTCGGACTATAAAATAATCACACGATAATTGATATTTTTTACTTTAACGAATCGGGTCAAGCTCAGCTCGTGAGTTTGGTTTATTTATCAAACGAACAGGGTCGAGCTTGAGCCTTAACAGTGCGAATTGAACCGATGCAGTTGACTTAGGTTTTCATTGTTGGATCAACTCACATCCGTACGTGTATGTATGTGCATATTGATCAAATGGTAAAAAATCATACTCCTTCTTATTTTTAATAAATGTCGTTTTGAGAAGTTACACAATAATTAAGAATATTTTTTTGCCAATAATAACCCACATTAATGAGGATAGAGATTGATGTTTTGAGAAAAGATGGAGAGTGAATATGAAAAGACGTAGTGTATTTATTAGTTAGATGAGGGTAATAATGCAAAAATATGTACAAAATAGCCAAAACGACATTTATTTAACAAATGATCAATTAAGCTAGGATGACAAATAATAAAAATAGGAGGGAGTATGAATTTGGGTAGATGAAATAAATGCTTTATATGTGAATAACACCACACAAACTTCAACAATAATTGCGATCCTGTGCACATACACAAATATAAATAATTTTTTAAATGTTATATGTGTGTGTATGTAATATTTAAAATTGTAATTTAGATAATTAGCATATCACAATTTATAGTTTATCAATATTAATAAAATTGAATATGATATAAATATAAATTATTTAACTCTTTGAGCATAACACTAATTATAATTTAAATAATGAGCATATCACTAATTCATTAATTTTGTATTTGATGTGTAATAAAATATTATTGTATACTTCTTTTACACATTTTCAATACATAAAAGAAAAATTCGAAAGAAAAGGCTGATTTTTATTAAATTAAATCGGTCCAATTAAATTTGTTAATATATGATGTCAAACTAAGAATTAAAAATAAAATAAAAATATAATATAGTTAAGTATGTCAAAAACGCAAGTGACCAAAATTGTGTAAGAATATTAGAAATTACATTACATATAAAAGTTGAATAATATTGATTGTAACATTTAGATAAAAGTGAAAAAAAGTGAAGAAAAATTCAATATTAATGATACAATTTTGTAACTTTTTTTGGAGGGAAAACAAAAAAGATTTTATTATTTTCTTTGCTACCAATTATATATATATATATATATATATATATATATATATNCACTATTAATTTAGTAGTTGCGATATGATTCTATCCCTATGTAACTTTCTAAATTACTGTCTGAGTCAATCTTAAATAAAAAAAAAAAATAAATAAATAAATAAATAAATCAATCACAAACGAGGTAAACACTTTATAATTCTTTTGCAAACAAAGCTTTGAAAAGTCCTAAAATAAAATTCGAAAAAATGAAAATAATTCAAAAATCGAATAAACCCATACAATGCATGCTGATTTAGCCCTGACCTTTTTCAATTTGATGAAAATTAAGGTGGACCCAATTAGATTTGAATTAGCGAGTCCAATTATCATTGAGTAATTGCCTTTAGTTGGTGCAAACAAGTGAATTATTGTGAAATTGCATTTTCTAGCCAGCACAATTTTGCCCACGGCAATAGAAAAAAAATAGATTGACTTCACAATTGCGATATTTTGATAGTTTCGCATCTTTATGGGCTGTTAGTTATGAGATTATATTGGGTCTTTTTTCTTCGGCCCATAACTCAAGATCTTCACATTTGAATAGTACTGCTAAGCTTTAACTTTAACTTGGTTCGAGCCCATCAAGTCTATTTTCCTTCTATAGTAACTGGGCAAATTAAGTCGAAATAT